CCCTCCCCTCAGCTCCCACCTCTCAGCTGGGTAGCTCCTCAAAGAGCCAGCAGAAGGCTGTGTTTACTCTGCCAAGTGGCACCTCCAGGGAGGGAGGAGAGGAGAAATAAATCTTCCTGCCTCTGCTTTGGAAAGCAGGCTGATAATTGTCTGCCTGCTCGTAAACATTTGTCAGCTGGCCCCACTGATTAACCCCTGGGCCCCAGGGCTGCGTGTGGTTTGCTTGGGAGGGTCCGGAAACTTAGAGGAGGCTGGGCATGGCTTCTGGAGCCTTCAGAGAAGAACTAATTCAGGAGGAGCTAAACGGTCAGGAGGATGAGACGGAATAACTTCAAAACCAGGGTTTGAAATGGACTCCACTTGGCCTGCTGTCCGCCTGACACCTGCCTCAGCAATTCAGGCCCCAAAGGAATGGCTAGGGCTGAAACTGTTCTGCAGGTTCCGGCAGGGACGCTGTCCTGTGTGTGAGGGGCTGGACCAGCGATGCCTACTCACCTCAGACAACAGAAACCCACCGCACAGGAAGCAGAGATCTGCCTCCCGTGGGAGGGGAGCCCAGATCCTGGGCCAGGTCTAGATGTGGCTGGCTAGGAGGTTGCCTTGGGCCGTCTATAACTGTTCACATGTGAGCATACCTATCTAGCTTGCCAAGCACCTTCCCACCTGTGTTCTCATTCATCCAGCCCCACAGAAGCAGGAATTAGCCCCCTGTGACGCAGTGGTTCAAATACAGACTTTGTTTCTCACTGGCTGTGCAGCTTTGGGGCAATCACTTCCCCTCTCTGAGCCTCACTCACCTCACCTGTAAAATGGGGAGAATCGCCACCACCCCGCCCCTGCAGTTTTGCTGTGAAGCTTAAATGAAATCGCGGATCTCAGGAACTCAGTCGTGCCTGGTGCAGGGTCGGCAAATTTGTCAGCTCCTCCTTTGAATTCCCCGCTTTACAGAGGAGGAAAATGAGGCTCAGTGAGTCACCAAATTATACTCATCTGAATGTTTTTAAAAATTATCATACAAACGCATCGTGAGCACAAGTTAAAGTTGTATTTCACTTAATCATGAGGAAATTATCAGGATGATAAAGCTAGTTCAGAGGACTGACGGGTATAATCGAAGAAGCACAGAGAACACTGGAAGAAGATCGCTGGTCAGATTCCAGCCCCAAACGCCCTGCAGTGCGTGACCTATGACCTTTGGGTTATAACCTATAATCTCTACTGGTCAGAAATCATTTGTATCACTCCTTTTTTAAAAAAAAAATATTTTATTGATTTTCTTTTTACAGAGAGGAAGGGAGAGGGATAGAGAGTTAGAGACATTGATGAGAGAAACATCGATCAGCTGCCTCCTGCACACCCCCCACTGGGGATATGCCCGCAACCAAGGTACATGCCCTTGACCAGAATCGAACCTGGGACCCTTCATCCCGCAGGCCGATGCTCCATCCACTGAGCCAAACCAGGTAGGGCTGTATCACACTTGGATATCTGTTTTCTACAAATTAGCATCTTAGTTCTCGGACCTATAAAATGTCTGGGCCTGAATCCATAGGGAGCCAGGACCCTTGGGGGCTTGTTTGATGATGCCCCCTGGGGACCACAGTTTGGACTCATCTGTGCTCAAGCAAGTGAACTGAGACCCCGGAGGCTCCTGCAGCCTCCAGCCCCTGCACTGGTTAATTCTGCAGCGAGACACCCAGACAGCTCAGAGCTGGAGGAACAAGCAGCAGCAAAGAAGCAACAGATGGGTTTCCATGGTGATTGCCTCCTAGAGCTCTAAGTGTCTTCTTTCTGAGATGGAGGTGCGGCAGGAAGAACATGGGTGCGGGAGGGAAAACCTGGTCCTGATCGACCCCAGATGGGAAGCTCAGTGTCCCTTGGGCAAGTCATCTCGCCTCCCTCGGGGTCTGAGGAGGAACAACGGATACCATTTGTTAGGTGCCTGCTCTGTGCCAGGCATTGTCTCAGTTAATTCTCTCCCCAGCAAGCCTTTGAGAAAGAAGCTATTATCAGCATTTTATAGATGAGGAAACAGAAGCACAGAGAGGTGGAGTAACTTGCACAGGAACACACAGCTTGTTAAGAGCACCTGAGCTGTGCTCTGAACGACAGCCCTATCTAGTGCTCCAGGCCCCTTTCTCCTAGAAGACTAGATGCGTTCCTTCTGGAGATTTCATGCCCATCCCAGAAAAGGAAGGGTGGCGGGGAAGCAGAATCAGGGTGCAGAGAGGGAACACTTCCGATCAAACACAGTGAAGTTAGCTTCCATTTTCTGCCTGGGCACCTTGACCAATATGATACCTGGCACCTCAGGCAGGAAGCAACTCCAAGCTCAGGCAGCCCTCAGACCCGCCCCGCCCTACCCGCCCCAGGCAGCATGACACCACCACAGCCATGGAGCAAACACTGCTGAGCTCTGGGATGCCATCCAGAGCATCTCCTTATCTGCAAACCCACTTAGAGGCCTGCTTCAAACTGCCCTGCAGGAAACAAACAAGCCTTCTGCCTCCTCCCAGAAGCCTCCCGTTGTTGAACTAGAGCCCGGTGCCCCTGCCTCCTCCTCCTCCTCCTCCTCCTCCTCCTCCTCACTGTTGTCCTCCTCTCTCCTGCCCTGTCCCACTCTCATCACCCCAAAGTATTGGCTTCTGTTCCAGTGATCAGAGCCCAGGTATAGGACAGGCACTCCTGGTGGCTTTGATGGAGGTCCAGAGTCCTTAGCAGAGCCCAGAGATGTATTTTTAGGATGAGCCTGGCTCAGTCCTGCCTGCCAGAATGCCCTGCCTTCTCCTTTTTTCATCCAAGTCCCAAGGCAAGAATGTGAATGGCAGTTCAGACAAGCCCAGGCCCAGCTGGCCTGAGAGCCTCCCCTGCAAGGATGAAGGTAGGAGAAGGTGTGTGTGGGTACTCAAAGGTGGGCATGGGCCTGAGCCAGCCAGGGGCCCTGGAGCTGGAGCAGGTGTCCCCCCACCATCCTCTCAACAGCTGGCCTTGACCTCCTAGCACTCCCAACTTTGTCCATCCATCCATCCATCCATCCATCCTCTCGTTCAACAAGCTTTGGTTGGACATTTATTATGCTGGTACTGGGGATGAGAAGGATGAATTCCCAGCCTAGGAACCTGACTATCGACGTAAGAAATGTCCAAACCTGTAGAGAATTTTTGAGTTTATTTGAATCAAACTGATGACATTGCCGGGAAGCAAAAACTCAACAAATTGAGAAAATGCTCCCGAGAATGGCAGTTTTGCATCTTATTTTGCACACCAGAATCAAAGGAGAAAATGTAAGGAGGGTGACATGAAGGCCATGGGTGGTAGATTAAGGGGGCAGGAGAAGCAAAGCGGGGAAATCTCTGGGATTGGATAAAGAGTAAAAGGAAGAGACACATAACTTCTTTTACATTGGTGGGTGCAGGGTAACTAATAATAGTTACAGCACATGGAGATGGTATTTGGGGAACAAGAGTAACAGTGAGGGGTCTGTGGTCTCTGCTCTGGTTCAGCAGTTATGCCCTGAGGGGTCTGGAAAAGGAGATAACTTTGACATTTCAAAGGTGTGTTATCCTAGATGCAAAAAAGGCAATAGACCGGCTCACTTAAGACAGAGATTGACCTTTGTCAAGGAAGCTACAGGCCTCGGATGTGGTTACCGCCATGACCTGCTATTAGTTAGGCATTTTAATGTTCAGACCATCCTCTGCGGTTACTTCCAGTCTCTGAGTTTGCAGGGCCCACATGCAAGCCTCCCCTGAGCTTGTCAGGGTTAACAGGTGGCTGCTTTTCAGTCCACATGACCTTTTCCCCAAGTCGCCCCCCTTCCCTCCAAGTTTTCCCCATCACCCTGCCTGGGGCTCAGGCCACACCTCACGTCCCACCCATCAACAATCCCGTCATTTTGCCCTGGCTCAAAATATAGCCAGAATCTGACTACATCTCACCCCTTTCACTGTTCCCACACAGGCAGCCGCAGTGATTGTTCTAAAAAAACACATTGCTATCCTTTAGGTCTTAGGGAAGGTGTTACTGCCTCGGACGCCTCCTCTGACCCCCTTCTTCCATAATGGCCTGGTTACTGGTCTCTCTTTCCCGGGGACAGTGATCTAGGGCCAGGTCTGTCTTCTGCAGGAGACAGAATGGTGCAGTGGCTAAGGGAATGGACTGCCTGGCTGTAGATTCTGGCTAAGCGATGGGAATTTAGGCAAGTTACATAAAGCTCCCTGGGCCTCCATTTCTGCATCTGTAAAATGGAATAATAATAGTATCTCCTTCGTAGCCCCCATAGGGAAGGATTAAATGAAAAAAACATAGTAATATGAATGTTAGCTATTACTGTTCTCCAGTGGTGTCTTCCCAGTGCCTGGCACAAAGTTTGGCCAACATTTAGTACTCAGTAAGTATTGGTTGGATGAATGAATGAATGACTAAATGTGTCTGGGTATAGAGAGATGAAGCGATGGCATGAGAAGCTAGAGGAGGGCCTGAACCCAGTGGGAGGAGAGTCAGGGAGGCTTCCCTTAGGAAGGGAGCTGATTCCTACAGGGCAAGCTTGTCAAACTCACAGCCCGCGGGCCAAATGCCTCGTTTATCTGGCCCGTGTTAGCCTTTGAGTTTGACACGCTTGCTGTAGGGTGAGGAGTTAGCCCAGCAAATGGAGGGACGAGTTGCAGGCAGGAGCAGTAAGAGCGTGTGCAAAGGCCTCTCACTACAGAGAGAACCTGACCCATGCAGGGAATGTCAGTCCATCACTCAGTGACTGACCCTCTAATGCAAAGAGGCCAGATTCCCCCTTCGTTGGCCATCTGGAGGATGTTTTTGGGGGTAATGATAAGAGAAAAATCTGAGATGTTCTAAATTAAAATGACAGTGTCTGGGGAGTTAAAGAAAGAGCAGTTAGCCGGTAAGAGCTGACTGTGGGCCGGCTCTGACCGGCTGCACCGATCTCAGAATTGGCCCTGCTTCCCCTCCTCCCCTCCCCTCTGTCTGTGGCTAATGTAATCCCTTCAGAGGGCTTATATCTACCTCCACCCTCTACTTGATGCATAAAAAAGGTTTGCAAAACTCTGGGATAACTAACATGCCGGGCTATGTACCCAGCCACGCTTCTGGCGCTTTAAACTCCATGCCTCGAAGGGTTGATGTGAGAATTAAGAGACACAGGCTGTGGTAGCTTGTGGCAAACTGAGGTGTGGTCCCTGCTGGTTATTTTTAGCAATCAAGGAAACTGGTTTGGAAGGGGTTAAGGGGAGACCCTGCCTCCCAGCCAGGAACGAATCAAGGCTGGCAGGGGAGGAGCCAGGCTGCCACTAGGAGAGAAATCTAGACTGGCCAGATGTTGCCTGGAGAGGGAAGGGAGAAGACACATAGGAAGGGCTGGGGGCCATGGGGCAGAGCCTTGGTGCAGGGTCGCTGGCCTCTGCAAGGTGATAGCTCCAAGCCAGAGGGTGCAGGGTCAGCTTCTAGGGGCTGGAGGAGGAGGGGCTGAGCTGCCTGAGCCAGAGACAGTGGTAGGGTGGGAAGGGACCAGGACCAAGAGCCCTCTTGGCCCCCCAGGCAGGGAGCACTGGCTGCACCCAGGCCTTGAACTCAGCTGACCCTGATAGCCCACATGGGGCACAGGGTCTAATTTTAGCTCAGCCACAGGGCCCAGAGCCCAGGAGTGCCGGTCAACTGGCACAGGGGTGGCCAGGGCTGCTCCGGGACTGCTCAGGCAGGTGTGTGTGTGTGTGTGGAAGGGGGGGGCGGGGGGAGGTGATTGGGGAGACCAGCCCTGCATCCTGGCCACAAGCTGCCTCTTGTGGGAGCCCTGACAGGTCCCCCATGGCCTGGCAGACAGTCATTTCCATTGAGGGCCAGGTCAGGGGGTTCAGCCAGAAGGGCAGGAGGACACAGCCTAGCAGTCTGGACAGGGGTTGCATCAGCCTGAATAGTGCCTGGGGGCAGGGGGCCCTGCTGGGAGGGCAAAGACCTGCTCGCTTGTCCAAAGACCAAGGAAGCAGAGCCCTGACCACAGGAACGCAAGGCCAGAAAGCTGGGCCCTTGCTGGCCTCCTCGTGCCTGGGTGCTGACTTGCTGTTGGACGCTGCGCAGGCAGCCTGCTCTTGATGAGCCTCAGTCTTCCCATCTGTACAATGAGGGCGCTGAACTAGGTTGATCCCAGCTCCAGCAGCCCACCCTCAGGCCCCTGCTCCTCCGCGTCCCCGGCCCTGGCTGTGGGTGGCCACATGCAGTCGTGGAGAAGGAAGTCCCTTTGGCTGGCACTGTTGGCCTCCTGGCTCCTCGGCCTCCTGGGAATCTTACCCCTTCTCCGCCTGGCGGTACCCACCGGACCTCGGGCGGGGGCCCCCCAAGGCTGGCCCCGCTGGCTGGATGCAGAGCTCCTGCAGAGTTTCTTGCAGCCTGGGGCGCTCCCAGAAGATGTCCCTCAACTTCCTCGAGTCCCCCGGGGTGGCAGCTGCGACTGGGGAGCTTGCTTTGATACCTCGAAGTGCAGGAGTGGTGGCTTCAAGGTGTTCGTGTACCCAGCGGCCGGACCCATCTCTGAGATGCAGCAAAAGATCCTGGCTTCCATCGAGGGATCTCGCTACCACACAGTCAGCCCTACCGAGGCCTGCCTCCACCTCCTCAGCCTGGACGCCCCGGCTGGAGCATGCAGCCTGGTGCCCCCGAAATGGAACGGGGGCCAGAACCATCTGGTCCTGCGGCTCCACCCGGCCTCCTGCTCTGGGACCTTCCAGCTGGGACAGGCAATGGTGGCCGAGGCCAGCCCCACGGTGGACACCTTCCGGCCTGGCTTCGACGTGGCCCTCCCGCTTCTCCCTGAAGCCCACCCGGTTCGAGGCGGAGCTCCTGGCCAGCTGCGGCAGCACAGC